GTTTGTTTTTTCCGCTTCTCAATTTATTTAGAATGTTTGTATGTCTTATGTTGTGAGTCTTGTTTCTGCTTTTGCTTTTGTGCTAGACTTTTTAAGAGGTGAAAGATCGGAAAAACGCTTTGATATGACATAAAATGTCTTTTCATACTTACGCCGAAATTTTTGTGCTCATTTATTTGTGTGCTCTAAGTCTAAAATCCGATGTCATAATATTCCTCTCCTTCCCCTCCTCCTTTCCAGTCTCTGTCATGGTTTAGGCAATTTCCTACAAATGTATATCTTTTCCCAACTCCTTCAAAACAAACATAAAGACAAAACGAAGGTGGCAGTAGAATGTCGTCAAAAGCCTTTTGGTAAAAAAACAACAACACGCCTACGTGAATACGATTTTGTAAAAAAAAAAAAATGTATGTAGGCAGTAAATGGGTCACGTATTGTCTTTCAAACGGCGGAGATGTTTTAAAGACTTGTGAGACATCGTGGTGAAATCAAGCGCTCGTCAATTTTTTAAAAGTATTTTCTGTTTTTGACTCAACACCTTTTATGCCTATTTTAAAAACACATTTCTGCGTTGATTATTGAAAACCTTGACTCAAAGGCTCACAAAAAGTACATTTGCTGTTTTCAAGGACAATAAAGCTTCGGAAGTCGCCAAACTTTGGCGGCCATTTTCTTGTAATGTTTTTTTTTACCTCTGACACCAGGCGACTCCCGCCTTCTTTAGTCTCAACTGTCTATATTATATTTCTACTCAAGATTGTGGGTATTTTTTCATCAAAAGCAAGGAAAATAAACAAGGTTTAAGATGATACCAATAACTCCATGTACGTAAAAAAAAAAGACAAGCGCCTGACCGTGCCATGACACAAATGAGCAAGTTTTAGGATGATAACACCAATCCCTCCATGTTATGCCCAAAAATTGACGAGCGCCTGATTCCACAGTGTCGTGACACATGAAATCTCCGCGGAGGCGGGTCAGGTAAATGGACGCCGACGCGCGACCTCATGCAGCAGGGAACTTAGTGTTTGGAAAACCTGTCATTATCTCTAGCCCTTCCTTTCATAAACCCCTCCAACTGTTGGTTCCCGAAGCTATTTGTAGCAATTTTTTCCCCTTAAATCTGAATGGTACAAAGACTGTGCGACATGTACTCATTAAAAAATCTTTCCAAGAACAAACGCACCCAGGGGGTTACCTGTTCTACTAGATGTTTGTTAAAAGCTTAAGATCTAGTCTAAGCACGTGAAACACGCGAAGCAAGCTTTTAGCATACTGTTATTCTTGAAATTATGGTGGCTGCCCTTGGCTATTTTGGGCGGTGTTGCTCAAGACCACTGTTTTTTTCTGGACTTGTTGAACTAACAGTATCATTTAAGATGAACAACAAAATTCACGGGGGG